TCTGGAGCTCTGCCTAGTTGTGTGTCTATGAAGTAATTCTCGGTATTTTCATTGCAAATTCTGTGAATGAGGCACATTCACAGTTTTTGACCGTACGAACACAAAGTAAAAACAAAGTCAACGTCAGGGTGATGTACCACTGCTAAGGTTATATTTCGCTTTGAAAACCCAGATCGAAAGTGAATGAAAATGTTTGAAACTTTTGGTCAAGGTTTTTTGTCATTAAAAGTTACAATTATTTTTTGATATCAATGTCAAAAATTCATATACAAAGTCCTGTGTCACAACATAGAACTTTGAGTAGAGGTCTATGGTCACAATAAATGTCCATAGGATATATTGTCTTGTTTTTTTAAAAAAAAAATTCTTACACTTGTTATGAGAATTATTCGGACAGTCAGTTAACAAGATGGCTTGCAACTTAGCAAAATACTTCTAGACTTTATGGCGCAGTTTGGTTGATAGGTTGCTGTGTGGGATTCCCTACAACAAATACTCCATCAAAAACTGCATTTAGTGCCTGTTTGCCTGTATTTGCATATGAATAGAATAGAGCGTAAGATTACCAGTCATTGGACAAAACTTTCCTGGCATTTTTTGTAACATATGTAATACCAGAACGTCATGGCCTCGCTGAGACGTTTGTGCAGCATAGAACTATTTACTCTCATAATGCATTATATCCATGCTGTACACGTAGCTTCACTCTCTTTGCTTGTGAAAATTACAACTGAAGGATACATTGCATCACTTGTGAAAATAACTCCCATACTCCACAAATGTCAGGGTGAGGCCATGGCATTCTGTAATACACCGGTAATATTTTAGCTGTCTAGATGTAGTATTTTGTCCATTCATTCCAGTGGTGTAGTTGACTTATCCTGATTTATTATCACCCTAATACATGTAGGTTTTAAGTGTTTTGGTATCGTAACATACGTTTTCTAGTACATCATGTTTTATACAGTGAAAGAACCTAAAGTATTTATTAAAATATTGTGTTCTATTTCATACTATCATAGTGTTGTTTTATTTGTATACAATATTATAAAACAAATATATATAAATGGTTTTACTTTTTTGTCCTGTTTGTATTTGAAAGTTTCAGTTTGCCCGTTAACTTATGATTCAGTGAATAATTCACCATCCTGCATTAAAGAAAGTCAAAAATAATAAGAACATGTTTATTATATCCTGTAATTTATTTCATTTCAGAATGTCTCGTTTTGCTGACTTACGAGTTGTGAGCAAAGGGTTACAGAATGTTGCCAGAGCATTCTGTAAACACCAAGAAAATGTCTTGAAAGATAAGATGGGTAACTGTAGTATGAGGAAAATGTTTGATGGTGTACAGACCAAGGCGGAGGAAACCATCAGTGATGCAATGACTAAAGTCAAAAACCCATCCTGGTCCAAGGTTAGTGTATGCCCAATAATTTATTGGTCTTTGTTAAGTCGGAGCCCAAACTTATGGATTGACAGCCCA